CTCCTGCCCTGCTGCCCCCATGGCCTTCCCTACGGGACATTCATCGGGCACCTGCCCTCACAGCTCTCGGAGCCGCCCAGGTGCTGGGTGTGCCTCCCCCATCCCAACCTTTACCACCAGGAACCAGGGTCAAATGCTTTGGTATTTAATGGAAGGAGTTAAAAGTATGGCCTGCGACCTCACAGAGGTGCGGGGTCAGCTCAGCCGCTGTGTGACTGGGTCAGGGCTTCTCCATCCTGGTGCGTCCTCAGGCCCCGCCCCTTGAAATGGGAACGGGTTGCACCTCTAAGACCCCAGAATGGACACTTTAGGAGAGGGGAATGGAAAGGGGTGGTGATGCCCAGCCGGCGTGGCTCAGTGGTTGAGGTGAGTGTCGACCTATGAACCAGGAGGTCATGGTTCGATTCCTGGTCAGGGCACATGCCTGGGTTGTGGACTCGATCCCCAGTGTAGGGCGTGCAGGAGGCAGCCGATTGATGATTCTCTCTCATCATTGATGTTTCTATCTCTCTCTCCCTCTCCCTTCCTCTCTGAAATCAGTAAAAATACTATATAATGAAAGGGTAGTATGCAAATGGTCCCCTCGACCAGGAGTTCGTCTGGAGTTCGACCAGGGGGCGGGGCCAGCTGGGGGAAGAGAGGGAGTACCCGGCTGTCAGCCGGCAGCTGCTAGGGACCCTACCAGTGCACGAATTTCATGCACTGGGCCTCTAGTAAAAGAAAAGAAAATGACCAAGACTTCTACCAGTTTCTGAGGAGCTGGGCTGTGCATTTGTCAAGAGATGTTGACTTGTGGAAAGACACACATAACATGAAGTTTACCATCTTGGCCATTTTTAAGTGTGTAGTTCAGTGGCATTAAGTATTCACATTGTTGTACAACCATCATCTCCAGAACTTTTCTTTGTCTTGGGAAATGGAAACTTTGTCCCCACTGAACAATTTGCAAAGGCCCTGGAACCCCAGAATCTGGAGCTCTCTACACATCCTTAAGCCCAACCTCCTGACTTCGACGGAAACAGGGAAGCCCCGGGGTGAGGCACCTGTCCCAGGTCGCCCACAAGTGACAGAGCAGGTCTGGAGCCCAGATTCCTTCCCTGGAGTGGACTCTAGTCTCCTGCCTTTACCCAGCAGCAGAGAAAGGGACCGCCTAGCTTACCTGCTTTCTGCCCGGGTTTCCGTGTTGCCACGAATGAAAACCCTATCAATTCTCTGAGACTTATGGAACATTCTGGACTCCAGAGGGTCTTAACTTCCCACCTCAGATGCTAACTCTCCCACCAGTCCTTTAGGTTTCAACAGGAGAGGCCCCTCTGCTTTGAGCTCAAGGCCCTTCATGCCCGCCGAGGGGTTCATTCTTGGTCCTTGGGGCACAGTGTGGGGGAAACTGAGGCACCACTTACCCAGAAATAGTCGCAATAGCTCCACTCGGTTGGTTTCAGCAGCTGCTGCTCCGGCATCGTGTCCGGGTGAGGGAACGTCACACAGTTGATCTGCAGGCACAGGACAGGGAGAAACGAGGGCTGAGGGCTGGGAGGCTGGGAGGGCTCTGCTCCCGGACACAGCGCTGCAGAGGCGCCGGGCGGGTCAGCGTGAGAGAACGCACACGGGATCTCGAGATGCTCCAGGGCCAACATGTCAAATGGGGGCACCAGTACTCACACCCACCCTAGAGGGCTGCCCTTGGTACAAACTCTCTGGGGGGCGGACTGACAGCGTCTATCAAAACTGCCAACATCAGAGCCTTCGGCCCAGCGAGTGCACTCGAAGAGTCTAGCCTACAGGTGCGTTTCACAGGTGTGCACCCGGCAGGGTGCCTGCCCCCAGCACCCTCTGTAACAGCAAAAGGCTGGACACAGGTCCTCTGTCCACCAGCAGGGGGTGGGTCAGCAAAGCAGGAGACAGGCGGGCATCCAGGGAAGTGGCTTCTAAGCAGGATGTCAGGACAGACTGAGTGGGGAGGGGAGGGAGCAGGTGCAGGATATGACTGTACGCCACCATTTGTGTTAAAGGGGGGCATATACACCTTTGGTTATTTACTTATGGAATACTTCTGTGGCTGATAACACTGTTTGCTCCCGGGGAAAGGAATTCTGTGGTCGGAGGTCAGGGGTGAAGAGTTACCCTGTGAATTTGATCTCATACAATGTATTCTACGAACAGAGAGGCTGCGGTGCTCACCCAGGAGCCTGCTGGACAGTGCAGTGCAGATGCTGGGATGGGCTCAGACCCTGGCTGAGCTGGTCCCGCAGCCCTGCTCTCCCTGCCTGGCGGAGTGGCTTTCTACTGCTCCTGCTGATGTCGCGTCCAGCCGGGTCCCCGCCATGGAGCCCGGTCCCTCCCATGGAGCCTGGCCCCTCCCATGGAGCCGGCTAATTTGTGTTCCTTGCGGGAGAGTCCCACCAGGCCTGAGTCCTGCCCTATCCATCTTTAACCCCTCCCTGCGCCCCAGCTGCTGAAGTGGAACCACACACGGTCAAGGTAAGAACAGTGCAGAAAAGCCCCAGCTTCGAACAGAGGCACAGACTCCGAGGCCAGGCAGCTCACACAACAAGGGAGGTGCCCTGTGTCAGGAGCTGCAGCTCAGGGCGGGGCGGGAAAGACCAGCCTCTGCTTCGGGAAGGGGTGGGGGTCTACGGAGCTCCATCTGAGCCCAAGGGGTGGACTGCTCTCACCCCCAGCAACTGTTATCAAGACAGAGTGAGGAGCCCATCCTTGTCAGGTTATGCGATGACCGAGGAGCTTCAAATCGGGAATCTGATGTGAAGTGTCTCAGTTTTGAAATGTTGGCCAATGAATCCAAGGCTAATAGTAATGATGTCAACAACAATGTAGGCAAGCCAGCCCCTCTGCCCGCTGGGTCAGGCCCGTAGGTCCCAGCCATGGCCTGTTCCAGGGTCGGGAGGGCGGCTGGAAGTAAATCCACACCCCCACCCCCCGCCCCGCTGGCTGCCGGGGGCCAGGCCTCGCTTATGGTCCTGCAAGGAGAGTGTGGGAGAGTCCAGCCAAGAGAAGGAGCCCCTCCCCCCAGAAATGGGGCTGAAGTCTGGGCGCGATTCCCACCCTGAAGGAAGCAGGACAGGCAGGAAGGATCAGGGGCACGCATGGCCCAAACATCCCTGGTGGAGAGGCACTGAATCCCACCAAGGCCAACGTGGAGGCCGAGGCACCCCCCGGGGCGGGGCGTTTCCTTCCAATGCTGCTCCCCCGGGGACCCCAGGTGCCAGTGATTGAGGTCAGTGTCGACCTATGAACCAGGAGGTGCCAGCGACCTGCGGGGCCTGCTTGGGGGAGGGCCGGCCTCTCCATGCCCAGGAGCGGGCAGCAGTCCCCAGGCCCCCTTTTCGGGCTTCTACCCCAAGGTGTGCTCATGGCTCTGGCGACCCCTGTGGCAGGGTCTCTCTCGCAGCAGCCATGGAAACGAGGGATGGATTCTGAAGTTTCCCACAGTCCTCACTTCACGTGTTTCAACAAAGCACGGTGATCACAGTGCATCTTTATTTTACTTAATAATGCTGTCCGTGAAAATGTCACCCAGATTTAATGATAGGTTAGCTGACATTGGATTGAGGACTAAGAATCACGGAATTTGGAGGCTGAAGGCACTGGGGGTGGGACCAGCATCTTCTCTAGTGCTGGGTCGGGATCTGGAAGGCAAGGGGTCGGCCTGTGCCCCTGGAGCAACCACTGAAGGAGAGTTAGCTGAGTTGGGGGGAGGGTAGGGGGAGATCAGGGAGGGTAAGGCCTCCTCCCTCGGTGGCTTTTGCCACTCTGTGGGGACACTGGTCCTGGGATGGGCTGGCCCGGGGCCCCAGGGTAGCTGTTCTTGCCTCTGTCAACTCCCAGCTCTCCCAGGGGGGTTTCTCCGCATCCTCAGAGCCCTGCGCCCCCTGGTGGGCGTCTCCGGAACTGCACCGGCTGCCCTCCAGGAGGCAGTGGTGCCTCCTGCAATTCCCGGGGAGCCCTCACCCAGGCGCCCTGCCAAGAGCTTCGCAGGGATTCTCACTTCATCTTCCCAGGAGCCCCACGGGCTGGGCAACACTGGCCTCGTTTGATGTGAGGATCGCCCAGGCACGTATTTGAATGCAGAGGATGACAACAGAGCTCACCCCTCAACCACCCTGCTGGCTGCTCAGCGGACCCCCTGCTCGTCCACATGCCACGTGGACGGTACGCGGAGGGTGCACGCGGCTAGACCTTCCCAGCACCCTGTACGTGTGCATTTGTAATCACACTTCTCGTGACTGTTCATTTCCCGTCTCTCTTCCTGCTCTCTCCCGCGTGCCTGGCCCAGCTTGGGCACCTGGCGGTGCTCAGTGCTTCCAGGTGTGATGACTGGAGGCTGGAAACAGCAGGTAGAGTCTCTGCCCTCACGCTTTTACAGCCCCGTGAGGAAGGGATACAAGGAATAAGTAACTGCAGTACTTGGGAGGAATCTACCACTGGGTGAGCATGGGGCGCTGGGGCTGCGTGAAGGGGAGGGATCTCGGAGGGGGTGATATTCGGTAATACAAGTGGGGTCAAGG